CTGCTGAAGGTCTGGTGTTACACAGGCAGCAACACCACACAACAAGGCCAGAAAAGGAGAAACAGCAGCAAGAAGCAGCAGGGTTGTGCGATTTCAGATGAAGTTACAGCAATGTTGTATTTACAACACGCACATCTTTAGTGTGTTAAGCAGCTGAGTAACGCAACAGCATAGATGTACTACAAAAACAGAAATGGGAAGTAAATTCCTCGGATTTTCTTACCAAAAGAGAAGTCAGACTGAAAATATTTTTCTTAAGCAAAGGGCAACCAAAAAGGTGCCAAAATAAACAGGTTAGCAGCCCAACTGAGAGTTAACATTCAAAATAGCCTTTTTACATCTTATCTTTTGGAGAAAAACACCCACACATCTGCAATGCAACTTTTGGGATGAAAAGCTATTAGCAACAGCCCATTCTTGCAAAATCTAAAGAAAGTGAAACCTATCCACAAGTTTAACACAGGCCAGCCTTAGCTTTGCTGACAGAAATGTTTTTCCTTTGGTATTACTCTCCACATTTCAAATCCTTTCCAACTCAGGAAACCCACATAAACCAAGATTTGACTACCAGTGGGAAAAAATTAGCAGAACTGCATAAAGGCAAAAGGCATCCAAGTAGTAATATAAAAATAAAAAACAAAGGAAAGTCTTTTGGTGGGATCCTAAGATGACAGGATTTAGAAAATTAAATTCAGCACATCAGGGAAAGCCAAAAATCAAGAAGCACTGCAATCGGCAAGACTGCCGAGCACCCACTGGATAAACGCAAGTCTATTGCCCGACTCATGCAAAGTCACTAAAACCCCTTCCCCCAGACACCACACACACAAGCACTGTGAAGAAACACATACTTCCTGGCTGGTAGCAAAGGGCAATGTGAGGAAACCATGAGTCAGCAACCTGATGATTTCTGCATGATTCACAGATGAGAAGATCTAGTAACTAAATTTTTCTGTTGAGTCAGAAAGAAGAGGTATAGCACAATAACTAAAAATTTTAATTTAAATCTATTGTACATTACAATCCAGCAAGCACACCATCAGCATCAGAAATAGCCACTCCTTTAATGCACGCATGCTTCTGAAGCACATTATTGAAGTTGACCCGCGTCAACTTTTTGGCAAGCAGATCAGATGTGCTCAGCAAAAGTATTTAGTACTCTACCATATGCTTCCTCCAAAATTACTGATTAGATTTTACAGACCACAGTCACTGCCTCTACATTTAAGGTTAAATGAAAACAGAAGCATAGACCAGAAGACATTAGGTAGTTATGGCCTTGCCAAATTGAACCAATCATGTTGAAAATTTTTCAAGTCAAGCTTCTTCAAGCTTCAGAGCATTTTTGTAAGATTGGGTCAGCTCTCCTTAAGGTTTAGCAGATTTGGGAGGGGAGAAAGTGATATTTTTGCAAATGATGGAGGGCAAAAAAACCCTGAAACAAACAAACAAAAAGAAAACCACAAAAAACCACCCTGCCAAAAAAAAAAAAAATCTAGAACCTTCCATGTGCTGGAGCAAGGTTATGAATTCTGGCAGGAGAAAAGGCAGGAAGCAGTTCTCAAGATGTAGTTAAATAGTTGCTTTCTACCTGCTTAGCCACCAAGTCTGGAGTTTTTAAGGCCTCTGGGAAAAAGTTATCAGTGTTACATTATGCTCAGAAGTTTATCACAGTTTGGCAGCTAAATTTTCTGAGGATCCTGTTATCCTGTTTACCCTGGGCAAGCTCCAGCCAAGAGCTGCAAAGGCCAAGCAGAACTTTTCCCTGAAAACCTTCCCAGCTTGTCATCCTGACCCTGCAGCACAAACTCCTGGAAATGGGGAAGGAAATTGCATTTACAGTGCTCTCCCTGATCTCCAGTGTTCAGGACTTCTTAGGAAAAAAAAAAAAAAAAAAGGATGATGACAGGAAGATAAAAGTAAGAAGGAAAAAAGAAACCAGCTGACAAGCAGGAACAGAAATGCAGACAAGTATCATTTTCCCTTTGGGGAAGGTATGCCGGAGGTTTAGGATTTACACGCAATTACTACTAAGTCTCACATTCCCTTCACTGCCTTTTAAACAGCCGTTAAAAGTACTGACAATATGGATTTCCAATTATGGATTTCCACCACACCTAGCTAGGACTGGTGTCCGTGGCTGCAGTACCACATGTGCTAGGTTGGAACTGAGCGTATTAACATTTCAACCTGTTGGGAAACTTTTGGGGAGTTACTGCAACAACAATACTGCAAGATTAAAATTTCAGCCAGACTTTCCTTGCTGCCTGTAGGAGTTTCTCTTGTGTCAGGGTTTTCAAACTATTCTGCCGGTGCATGCTGTTTTTTTTTTAAAGGCTAATGCAGGGAAACTTCAGAAAGACACAATGCAACAATTAATGTTGAATACTGGCCTGGAATTCCATCAAGAAGCAGTGGGACATTGAAGGAAAGCAGTCACAACCTAGGGTTACTCCTTAGCCCTTACATAAGTCATTACTGGAGACAAAAAAAAGCCCATCTACTAAATGACAGCAACTCTTCCTGCAACATCCTCAGTATCCCCAGTGAGCCATCAACCATGTACTGACCACGCAACTCAGTGCCTCTGGAATGAGCTACTGCAGATTAAGCAAGACCATTCCAAAATCACTTACATTTTTAAAATCCCCTTCACATTATCAGCTTTTAAAGCATAAAGGGACTATTATTTTACGTATCCCACAGCACACAGTATACACACCTGACTTCTACTAAAACCATCGTCAGAATCTACAGCTTCTACTTAATTAAAAGCTGAAGCCTTGGTATCAAAGCAGAAATGTTTTCTGCCCCCCACAAAGTACTTCTCGGAGTCAACTAAGTCACCCTTCAGCCTTCTCTTGAACTTGGCAACAACTGAAGCACTTACTGCCGCTATGTACCCCTGTCACCAGTGATCTGGATCACAACATAGCAGTAACTTTCCCTTCACTGCTCCCTCAGGGTTGGTGGTTTTTTTTTTGTTTTCCTTCATAACTATTAGGAAAACTCAGTAACTTCACCCAAGAAGAGGCCTCAGCAAGCCACCACCAAAAGTCCTCTGGTTAGAGGCGGGTATTCATTTTGTACGGTCATCTGAAATCTTCAACTGATTATCTAATTTGTTCAGCCTGTGTTGCACTGACTTTGGAAACAGAATCTTTTGAGTTACCATGCCAAAAGTCACTGAGGAGTTTAAGTCTGTTGTCTTAGAACAGACTTAAACAGTTCCAACAGCCAACAGTTCCAACTCAAAACCCTGTTTAGCTTTTAGAAACCTGCCTTACAAAAAAAGCAAAAAACAAAACCAACCAAACAACATAACAACCCATGCTCCTAATCATACTACCAACCTTTAGCAACTGTACCTCATAGTAACTCCTAGCTGTATTTGACCAGAAGGATGTACACTTAGTGATCAGCAGTTAATCACATCACCTGTTCATGCTTTACAACCACTGACACATTTGGGAGGTTTTCCAAATTCCATGAACGTTGCCCAGTTTTCTAAGATGAGCTGAAAAAAAATCGGGGCTAACAGATCAAAAAGGTCCCTGCACAATTTGATTTTAAACAACGCAAACACATACTGTTGGTGTAAATTCTTGCAGATTTTTAAATGTTTTTTCTTGAACACTCTTCTACTACCTTCCTTAGTTACTGCTTAAACAGACAGGATTTCATTTTGTCTGCAGTTTGTAAACGTATCAGACAGCTGCTTCTGCAGACAAAAATAATTACATTTATACAACATTCATCCTTCTTTTCCCCTCACCAGTAGTCTTTATTTTCTGCTATGCCTTTTTGCTTTATGTAAGTAAATGAAGTAATTCACAGTAAAAACCTATAAAAATGACACTGGTAACAGAAAAAGGAGCTGATCTTACCCACCAAACACTGCCTCCCTCCATGTGAAAATTGCAGTAGGCGTTCTATTTTTGCACTTAACTTTTAACGCTAATCCTGATGCCGAATTACTGAATTATGTTCCCAGGGACCGTAACTACTAGGATGATTTTTGTTTGCAAAAGAACTTACCATCTGGAGCATATTTTGAAGCTATTCCCAAAAAAATCCCCAGTGCAACAAAAAGTGAAAGGCTAGAAACGGCAAAGCAAATGAGAGTATTTTTATGCCTGCTGGCTTCTGCCTGGCGGCGGTGCTGATCCACTGGTAAGGACGGGAGTCTTGTCCGGGCTTCTTGTCTCGCAGAGGTAAATTCGGCTGCAGCGTGGCTCTGCGAAGGCGGAGGGGGACGGAGAGGGGCAATTCTCCCCGGGACATACCCCGAAGACTTGTGACTGCTCCCGTTCTGAGGCCGGAGGAAAGCAGGGGAACTCCCCCTGGCATCAGTGTCTTGCATGTTATAAAGTCACTGGAGAACACACAGGGAAAAAAAAAAACAAACACAACAGACAAGACTTTCAGAATACAATACTTAAAAAAAAAAGAAACAAACAAAACCCACCAAATTTGAAGACACATGCCTTCTTAAGAAGAAAAGCCACTGACACTGTGGCTATTTGCAAAGTATCAGTCACTCAGTTGCTACTGGCCATTTGCCATGGTATAACAGGTTGAAACAATAGTGTATACATTGTTTACATACATATAGACACAGATAGACAGACAGACATATATCTTCAACAAAATTAAACTCAGAAGCACCTGGTATGGGAACACAGTACAGCACAGACCACTTCAGAGTTCCACTAGTTATTTTTCACAGAGTGTTTTCACAGTTAACTTGCATTATGTGATTAAGAAACAAGCTGAACAATGAGAAAGCTAGCAACCCCTTCTTCCCCACAGTTATGCAAAGAATGCCTAAATGTATTTCTTCTGCATGCAGAAGCTGAACAAACTCCTCATTGTTTTCCTTTATGGAAAAGAAGCTGAAGAGAACAAGCCTTCCTTCCACACTGGAAGCAGTAAAAAGCATTTAAATCTAATACATAAAATACCAAACACAATTTTATTTATATTCATGCTGATGTAACCTAGTCTAACACTTTCAATAAGCTGAGGCATATAGAGCCTGCAAACTCTTAACTTACGCACAGTGGAGTTTGGTTACTAGTAAAGGTGCATCAGGAATAGTCCTGTAAGAAAGTCATCTACACCTTGTTCAGTGGACCTTGTGGTTTTCCTTGTTGCCGAGATGCCTGGGTTTGGACACAAAGCCTGGAAGCAACATGACTGCTCCAGATCTCTGTACCTATCACCCAGAAGTGAGTGCTACTTTTATATCAGTTACCAGTATTGTTTCCATCTTTTTCCAAAGCAACCGATGACCAAAAACATCACTGCCTGGCCCATCCTCACCAGCAGTTCTAATCCATCACACGTTTCTGGTTTGCTTTAAGAGACACAAAACTGCATTTGACAGTTTTCTCAGGCTTTCTGGTCAACTGTGTTGCACTGTATTGAGTATTCACAAACAGTTGGCATGGTATCTTTACTTTTTTTTTTTTTTATTAACTTTTCTTAGGGATGGGATTTTTTTTGAGAAGGCTGCTCAAGTTTCAGTTAACTGAAACCTAACTTTCCAACCCAAATCCTGAAGGGGATTTAGGCGTAAGTCATGTGTATTAAATAGCAAAATGAATTATGAAAATAAAAACTACCAATAACGGAAGCGCATAAAGATCCTCTTTCTCTTCCATTAACAAAGGGAAGTCTGAACTATACTCTGAAGTGCCAGGCACGCTGGTGAAAGAGAAATGTGACAACTGTAATCTTATTCTGAGAAGTAGCAAAGGAGCCTTTTGTCTCACATGCTGCAAAATCTGATACTTGACTGCTTGAAGGCAAGAGAATGGAACAGCCTGGATTACCCTTTAATGGGAGACAATGCATCTCCAGACGTACGCACAATGACAATAAAGACACTGAAACATTAACTGGAGTCGCCATCCCAGAGTGCAAAAATTATGCCAAGTCCTCCAGCAGCGTTTCTCACACCTGTTCGCTGTAGCAAATTGATTTTCGCTGTTCTCCTTTTTGTTCTTCCAGAAACTATGTCCCAAACCTAATCCTCTGCTCTCCAACTTAACTGCCCAGTACGTTCTGAGCACTGCAGAGCAGCTTGCTTGCACCACATGTGCTTTTACACTCAACTAGTCATCTTTCAGCAGTGAAAACTCAACCATTTCTATGTTTTAGAAGTGGTGTTAAAAGCCAAGTAGAGAAGGAACTTTTCAACTAATTCAAAGGCAGTTTTTATATCTAGCTGAAACAAATACTGAAGAACTTTTTTGATTAACAATTTAAATAAATTCTATCCAGCATTGAGGTTTTTTTTTTTTTTTTATGGTTTGGACCCCCAACTCCTCAAACTTGCTTAAAAAGTTTTCGGATAGAGCATTTATCTATCACACTGACAAAATGACTACAGTGTTCATTATAATGTGATACAAAGAGTTAACAAGTTTGTTAGTTGCTCAGCTATATCAACTAAGTCCAGAATGGTTATGCAAAACTTTTCACAAAATAATTTTAACACAATTTTGCCTACTAAGGCCTCTTAAAGTACTGTCAGCCCTTTAAAGAAAAACATCATTCATTACAACAGACATCAAAAACACTTGTGTCATGTTTCAAGCATATTTTGTTTTGTACAAAGCATTCCACTTTGTTTGCAAGCCTCATTCTGCAAACTAAAAGTTTTCCAAGTATCCCACTGAAGTGCAAACACAGGTCACCTCAAGGACAGGTGGAAAAGAGACTGCAGAATTACTGTCTTACCCATTACAAAATTAAAATAATGAAACAAAGCCATAAGGAGATACTTTGCAGAATCAAAATATTTACTACATAGTTTTCCATTACAACAGGAGTAACCATTTCAACACTTCCTTCCCTCTTCCTGTGCTATCTGAAATTCTCTAGCTGAAAGAAGGATCTTTTCTACCCTGTAGAGCAGCTACTAGCTTTTCTTTAAAATTAAGACACAGTAATAATCTGATTCAAATTATTTACTTGTTGATTTCCTCTCTGTGGAAGTCTTCACATAGCACCATACAAATGCAAGTGTGGTAATGGGCTATGCGGCCAATTACACCCTAGAAAGTGCGGTTATTTGGCTGCACAAATACCGTTTGAGTAAAGTGTGGCGCAGGGAGGGGAGAGGAGGGAATCTCTTTCAATTTCATTTAAATACCCCATTTCATTGCAAGATCCCATGCAACACTTTTTCTTTCTCCACCCAAGGTTTCCCATTTCCCTTTGACCTGTGCTTATGCTCTGTTACTTTAAAAAAAAAAGGGGGGAGGGCGGAGGGAGCACAAAAAATACTGAGGTCAATGGCCACAGAGAGGACTGGCTTCTGTCACCGGGACCCAAACCCACAGAATTAGGAAGTCTCCTAAAGGATCTGGGTGCCTCATCCTGATGGTGCAGTCCTGGAGAAGAACACCACCGCTTTTACAGTTGCAGTATACAGCGATGCACTACTTTGTAGCTTGCTTAAGAGTGATTTCAGAAGTCACGTTCTTGCACAACATACAACCAATTACTTCACCTAACAGCGTTACACAGGACTCGGTCTGTACGAATCTGTTATTCGCCATGCCATTCAGGCAGGCTGCTGTCTCAGTGTTCCCAAACTTCCTGCCCTTCAGCCTTCAACAGGGTTTTATCCAGCATCTTCAAATCCATTATTTACCACAGCTTTTAGTCAGGGCCACACGTCAGTATGTGCTTCCAGCTCACCAGTACCAGGAACGTTTCCAGCCGTCTCAGGTGCTTCAGCCCACCAGGCACTCCTTACCCCACATCTGCTGGAAGGCTACACTGTCTGCACGTCACTCTTGCAAGAGCAGCCCCCTTCCACACCATCCAGGTTTCTGCTTTTGCACCCCTTCCCCCAACACTGGCAAGCAAGTACTTCTCATACTCGTCACGTCAGACAACTCTGTTTAAACCACCTTTAAAAAAAAAAAAAGGGAGGGAGGGGGTGTGGAGGAGTTTATTTTGCACAGCATCTAAGTAAAAGCAGCGACTACCTGGCAAGTCTGGCTCTGCCAACCGAGCACCTGAGCTGCATGGACAGCAAAGCCCGGCAGGCAGACGGCAACGAGCCACAGCACAGGCTGGAACACCTCCAGTCTCCTCACCTATTTCTTTACCTCTTTCAACTTGTGCCACTACTACACACTCGTACAAGCCCACATTGTTCCACACTGGCAGAAACTAGAAACACACGCACCGTACGACCAAGGGATAACATCCGAACCTCCTCGGACGTAAGCGCGTGCTCAGAAGCCAGCGGCGTGCTTATCTGCTACTCACTTCAGGGCTGGGTTCCTGGAAAGGAATAGGATTCTTTCACAAGGTAATTCAAAACATCAGCTGACACCACCCAAACTGTGAGAAATGTACCAAGATATTTCACACTTCTCTGCTGTCAAATGCTTAGCGTAACAACACGTGTCAAAAGCGCTAGAAAACTCCCGCACCCTTGCGCCTTCTCCAAACTTTCTAAACAAAGTATGCCTACTTCCATGCAGTGCAAAGAAATTAACGCTTCCCTTAAATCATATTTTAAGGATGCAAAGTCCACAGCTCTTAAAAATAAGAGAGAAACCAGAAGAAACCCCATTTCTGTTGCTCTAGGCTATCAAACACCACCAGCTGTAGTGCTGACCTATTACCACACCATTTAATCTCAGAGTATGTAATTGCCATTAAGGAAAAGATGGAGGAAGGGTGGGGGAAAGCCACGCAGATCAAGAAAAACATTTCCCCATGCAGTCCAGCACCACATCGGTTACCGCCGCTCTCCTGGCACAGGCCCGTGTCTAGTGTAAGATCAAAGGGCAGTGAGGAACCCAAGAGAAGGGAAAGGGACAAGCTGTCAGTATTAGAAAGCTCCTAAGTAGCTACAATTACTGTACAGAAAGTGGTGTAAAGCAAACTCCTAAAGCATGACATGCACACCTTTAGAAGCCTCTGAGCTGGTCAACTACAACAAAGATACTAATTTCAGGACAATGTTTCGAGTGCCCTAGAAGTCCCCAGTTCAACAAGTCTTAACCTCACCGTTATGAAAATTAGTGGTTCCCAGTAGCCACATGGGGTACTTATATGCTTTCCTATCTGGTTCCACGTTTTCTTCCACTGCCTTGTTCTGAAATTACACCTATTCACTATGATAACAGACAGTTATTATTAGTATTTGTAGGAATTCACTTTTCTACCTGCGTGTGCAAGAGCTGGAAAGAGCATGTGCACAGTAAAACACATTAACACAGTTAAGGAAATCACAACAATGTTTCTAACAGCTTGAAAAAACCCAGCTGACTTAAAAAAGTGTAAAAACCCTAGATATCTTCTATCACATACACTGTTTGCTCTGTAACA